TGTCTTTTTCTATTTGAGTGTACTCCTACGTTTATTTTGTATCATCAACACTCTGCACGTTGGAATGGACTATTTAATTATTTATTTATTATGCCAAATATTGGGGGGGGGTTGAAAATTTTTTTGGAGGGGTGGACATTTTGTTTGGGGGTGAGGTTAGGGGGGGGGGGGGGGGGGTAGCACGCCCAGAAAATCCGCCAATGCACCACAGCGAATGATACACTCAAAGGAGTTTGTTTTTCCAAATTGGACAAACTGTTTTCTATTCTCAAAATAACTTTTGATCCAACTTAGTGCGATGCCATGACAGCCATGTTCAAGTTTGTAAAATAATATTTCCTGGTTAATTTTATCAAAGGCTTTTGATAAGTCCAGAAATACACTGGCAGTCAATTTGTTCTTGTCAATAGAGGTTGTGACTTTATTAATTAAATGGATAAGTGTGAATTCAGTTGAGTGTTTCTGACAAAAGCCAAACTGGCAACAATACAAAAGTTCAAGTTTGTCAGTTAAGTGTAAAAGGCATTTATGTATCACCTTTCCAAAAAGTTTAGAGAAATTCAATAAATTATCAGTTGCATGCACTGTAATCACATGAACAAATGAATGCAGGGTTGAAATAATGGCTAGACAGGCACTTGTTATGTTATGGTTAAAAGTTAAAACAACCAGCAAAACAGTCATCCCAGATTCAAGATCAAGGTTCCCAAAAGAAGCCAGCACCCAGCAATTTTTGCCATCTATACTGTAGCATAGACAATTGCCAGTTATTTCTCAAAATCACAAACTAAAATATTTCCTCCTTAATAATTTCAGAATCTTCACAGAGATGCCCTTGTATCCCCGTCATTCCCCCCTGCCCCAGGTTCAGATCCCACCACATAGCCACCTAATTCATTCAAGAAGCCTCCTACACTCCAAATTGCAAGATGAAGCTGAGACAATCAATTTAGTGGGTTTTTGACCAGTTTGTTTTTACAGTGTATATTTTAATGAAAATACTGAAAATTAAATTTCCTTTCAGTATTTGTGTGTATAAAAATTGTCATATTTGGCAAAGCTAAATAAATAAATAAACACACCTCCTATGGCTGCAGAAGTTACGGGACTACATCCATAGTATATGGGGCTAACTCCAAAAATAATACGAAGCCAGTTACAGTATCTAAGCCTGAAGTTAATGGCAGTGCACTGGCATAAAACCTTCACAAAAATAAAATCCACAGGCATCTTACTATTATTAAAGTACCTACTGTAGGCTGTTGCGGTACAGTATATCCATATACCGAAAATTATCAGTTTTGTATAAATACCAATTATTTCTATATTTAAATTTTCAATATCTCAGAATATCAATATTTTTTGGTATTATTGGTATCAGGCTTTTTTTAAACAGCCCCAAAAACTCAATCTTGAATTGAGTTTTGAAACTCAATCTTCTCACCAAAGTTTCAGTGCAGTAAAAATGAAGTTGTTTGAGTTAAATTTGTGACGTGTGGAAATTAGTTTTCAGTTGGAAACCTGACAATTAAGAAAAAATGGCTGGAATTCATCTCACAACACAAGAAAAACTATGCATTCGCCATCTTTAACCAGTTTATAGTGTCCCTCAGTGCCCCTGCTTTAACACATTCCGTCTCAACTACATTTATTGAGGACAAGTGTGTGTGT